CATATATTTGATTTACAATTAATTATCTCTCGATTATTAAGTCAAAAAATTATTTATTTTTGTACAATGTATTTGTTTAGTTAACGTGCTGTGAAATTGCCATATCTATGACAAACAATAATGTTAGATTTTTATTATGTTTGAAGTAATTTAATTGAATTTAATAAGACTCTTCTCTGGTAGCGAGCTTATAAGAATAAGTAAGCCAATATATATATATATATATGTATATGTATATGTATATGTATATGTATATGTATATGTTTTATAGGACATTGTCATAGAATTGATTCCAATTTTTTTTTTTTAAGCTAATTCATATAATATTTATAATCATCTATTATTATTTATATACTTATAAAGGCTTAATCGGACAACGGTTCTCATAATACGTTCTATGCCTTCGTTTTTCAAACACATGATGGAAAACTTTTAGTTGCTTCCTTTTTTTTTTTTTTTTATTTTATTTTATTACACAATCAGTAAGAGAAATTATTTCATGGATATGATGTGATAGAGTATGGAGAAAAAAACACATGTTTTTTTTGATATTTTATTGAAATAGTTTTTCTTATCATGCGTAGTATAGTTATTTAAGGTACACGAGAGTACAATTTTTTTTAACCAAAGAAGAAAAAAATAATTAACGTAACTAGACGACAATTTCTTATTTAAACAAAACAAAACAACAAAAAAGAAAAAGAAACATTCAATCGAGCAGGAATTAAAAAGCTTAAGAACCGATGATCTTCATAAGATTATAATTTAATTTTATTTTTTAAATATATTTAATATAGAGTGTATTATTTAGCGTATACAATATGACAATACCGTTTGTATTCGTAACTTAAATCTTTAATTATTGTTAATGTAAATACACACATATATATATATATATATAGTGAGAGAGAGAGAGAGAGAGAGAGAGAGAGAGAGGGAGAGAAAGAAAGAAAAAGAGAGAGAAAATTGATGCCACTGTTAACACACACTTTTTGTAAAGCTTATTTTTGTTTAAATTGAAATTTGGGTATAGTATTTTATATATTTTATTTTTGGGTTAAAACGTATTGTTTCAAGTACAAATAAATTTAATTTTCAATCATACGTTTATTATACACGTTACACACTAAGCATTATTTATATTTTTCATTGAAGTTATACGAAATTCAACAAAAAAATCTTATCAATGATTATTTTATCGCATAGAAGTAATATGAGACGCATAAAATGATTTCCTGATGAATTTAATTATTATTATTATTATTATTATTTGGATATATTCATTTCTTTAATTATTGTGATAATAGCTTTTAAAGATATTTACGTTTAATAAATTTTACATTTGAGTTATGTAAAATATCATTGGAGATATAATATATATATATATATCTCACATATATATAGAATGGATCTCTTAGTGATCAATTTTAATATTTAAGTTATGTAGCCGTCAATTTAAAATATCCTATGTATATTTTCTGCAGTATTAATGAAATTATTCTTATCGTAAGCTGATGATCCTAAGTGTACTGCTTTTATATATAAATATATACGTATATTTAAAAAGGAAAAAAAAAAGAAAAAAGAAAAAAAAATCATATATGTATTTACATGTATCGTAGCCTTGAAAAATCGCTAATAATAAATGCTACAAAGACGACACACAAACCTATCAATTTTTTAAATATATATATATTCTCTCTGTTATTTTTATAATTTATTAATATCTTTTTTTCGTGTTATATTCGATGTATAAAATAATCATTTGGCAATATTGTAAAACACTCATGTTCTTTTTTTTAATCATTCATCGAAGTTCTACTTGGCCATCGTGTTTTAGCCTACAAACATTGCATTATGAATTAATGAATTTTTTTTTTAATAATATTTCCCTGTAGGTGTGAAATTATAGAGAGTACCTGTTGTTTTATCTTTTGTTTGTGACATTTAGGAAAATCTTCGTTTTCCGACATATCCAATGATTCAATGGACGTTGTACTTTTTCTAGTTTTCAATCTTTTCGTCAAATTTCTTTTACTCGGAGAAACTATTTTTTCCGAATCATTATCCCAACACCAACGATATGCAAGCTGAATATGCAATTATATATTAATCGTAAAGTTTAAATCCGTGTGTAATATGATTTAATAATATCTTTCTTACCCATGTTATTATAAATATCCAAAATATAATAAACATTAAAGGTAGCGTCATTTCAATTTAGATTTAATTTTATTAGTTTTTTTTACTTTATGATTTAGATTGGTATTACATCATTAACAATTTAACAATCTGAAGTTGAAAGTTAGATTATTTTAATATCATTTGTTTTGAATTTTGATGATACACATTTGAAATATTTCAAACGCTTGTTGTAATTGTATATATATGTAAAGAATTTATCATTCGATATTAAAAAGAATAACTTCATTAAATAATAACAAAATGATACATGCTAACGAGCTTTTTAGATTTTGTACAAACTTTAATGATAGAAGTATTTAAATACAATTACGTACTATAAATTAAAAAAAATATTTATTTTTCTAAATGTGTGTAATATATTAACATTATGTAGTAACGATATCATCCTCTACTTCCATTTTTTCAACACCGTTTTCTTTAGTATCGTCCGATAAAAGTGTTCTAAACCCTTTCTTGGTGGAATAAATGCCCAATGGAATTAATTTAAATGTAGCTAAAGGTTTTCCCAATAATTTCTGACAAATAAAATAATACAAATTGTAAATATAATTCAATGATATTTAAAATAGTTAACACAGTGTATAATAATTACCAAAATTCTAGCTTGTTCCGGCGTTAATGGTTCTCCTTTTTTGCAGACTTTAAATTTTTTGATCAATGTAACAACTCCTTTTTCCAATGCTGTTGGCATACCTAATTGCCTCAAATGTGGTTCTATACTATGTGGAAATTCTGTCAATGGACCTTCTGGTAATACTATTGATTCATTTGGTATAAAACCAGAACGTGCATAATCAATTTCTTCGTATTCCCTAATCGTTTTTAATGCCTAACAAAATCAATTTACATAAAATTAATTAAATGCAATACGCTGAAACTGTATACTATATTTTTGTTGTTGTAATAATATTATAATAATTAATTACCTCTTTGGTTTTACGATTAGTGAACAATAATCCACGTTGACCAACTAATGCATTCGATAAAACATGTACTCCTTTGAGAATTTCTTTTTCCTGTGTTTTACCCAAGGCTATTGCCATAACTTTATTCTTCCCAAAGAAAAATCTGCTGTCATTCCATTCATTTCTTAAATTCTTTAATTTATTATTGCGCATATTTTGTACGGATAACAATACTATGTGTTTATATTTTGTACACCAATTGCGTACATCCTCTACCAAATGTTCTTTCAATAATTTACCTTTTTTACTGGTTTTTGTCAGCGATACTGCAAATTAAGAACATTATTTTTTTTATTATTGTTTATATATTTTCTTAAAGTTTTTAGAATTTATATGCTTTTATAGAAAACATAAATAACCAACAAATAATAAAATCATAAGGAAGAATAATCAAAATTTATTTGACTTACTGGTTTTATCCCTTTTAGATTTCGGCATTTTGTTTGAAACTTTTTATAATTATACTTTTAACACGTGGTAAAGGATTTTTCTTGAAAAAATTCAAGGGATTTGTGTAACACGTGATAATTTAACTTTCTCCGTGGTACTAGCATACCGCCACATAGTTGTAACTACGAAAACGTGAACCTAGCATTTGTGTTACTTAACTCACAAATGTTTAGTTATATAAAAGATGCTGCTGCTGTCTACAAGATTAATAGCAAAATTTGAATATAAAAACGGATTCATTTTGTTTTTAGTGTACGTATCACACACACAATCATTTTTTTATTTATATAAATAAATTATTTAAGTTGTGATTTGTGTTTCAAACTTCAAAGTTCTATGGTTTTGCATTAAAGTTTTCGTAATTTCTAAAAATGAAATTTTTTATCAGAAACTTGCAATATTATGAAGTATAAAGTATAATTGAATTACTTTTCTTTAATAATGATTTATTTAAAAAGAATATAAAATATATTGATAAGAAGAATATTTGAAAATATTAATATCCAGCATACACTTTGCAGGAGCGCTATGATTGGTCGATACAAAGACGTTTTAATATCTGATTGGTTATCCGGCAAATGAACGTCAAAGTACTTCAAACGATCGAATAAATGAACGAATAAATAATTTCTTGTTTATAAATATTAACAAAAATGAAAATAATTAATTATTTTCTATCATTAATAAAAGAAAGAATATTGCGTAGTCATTAAAAATGACTTATAGCGCGAAACGTTTCGAAAAACCGGAAAGGGTAAATCCCGGTTAGTTCAAGATGGCGGTTTCCGCTATTCACGGCAGTGCACTCTGTGAGATCGTAGTGAACGGTAGCCGTTGAATACGCCGAAGCCTTGAATTTCTGGGCCGCTAAGAGCACTCAAAAGGTGAGTTTCTTCAATTAATTAATATTATAACAAAAGGATACGAAATGAATGAAATGAAGTGTAATATTAATCGCATAGATATTGTTTAAATGAATTGAGATATAAATGAAGAAAAGTTCTCTCTTGAGTTGTGCGCTCGTGATGAGACACGGCAACGATGGCCGTGTGAACCCCGTAGCTTTTGGCTGCGACGACTAGTCCAATTAAACTCACGATCGTTCTTTTTCTCTTGAAATCATTGATTTCAATGTTTCTCATTATATTTTTAATATTATACGCGGATAGAAATAAATCGGCACGTATGTCATTTAAATCTCGACGAACGTTCGAGTATTCCATTGGTTCTCTGTCATAAAGAATATCATCGTGTAGTCTTCGTCGTCGTTTAGCCTACTAGCGAATTATTTCAAAAGACATCATCGTGCAAACCGGCCGCCCATCCAACGAGCTCCTTCTTCTGCGTATGTGTGTTTTTGGATTACTTGCGTGTGTTAGTCCAACTATTGTGTCGCACGTTACGTCGATGACGCACACCACGGAACTTTCGATAGAAAGAGAAAGATAGATCGATGGAGATAGATAAAGAGAGATAGAGAAAGGGAAGGAAGGAAGGAAGAAAGAAAGAATGAACGAACGAATGAGAAGATATAAGTGTGTATATATATATATATATATATATATATATATGTGTGTGTCAGACCGGGCGCCATATTGTCCGGCCGACCATCATTGATGGAATTCTTTCGACTCGTCTGCATGAATAGAGAAAGATAGAAGCTCTTATCTTTCTTTCTCTCTCTCTCTCTCTCTCTATCTATCTCTATCTCTTTTTCTCTTTAGTTCTCTGAATGTAATACTCTCTTCCTCTCTCTTTTCCCAATCTTCCTTCCTTCTCGTTTCCTTGGCCAGAAGAAGAACTTCTTCGATTCTTTTTCGAATACTTTTCGTTCTTTATATGGTCGGGAGAAATCGAAATAGGCGTAGTCGAAAGCAAGGAGGACGGAACCCCCACGCGTTTCTTTTTACCAAAGAAACACATAAGAATGATTCTTTCTACCGGTTACTACTACTACTACTACTATTACTACTATTATTATCTTTTCATTATTTTCAATTTATAATTAAATATGTCTTTTTATTTTTTTATTTTATTTTCTTTTTTTTTTTTTTTTATCTTTTTTTCGATTATTTCTATATGTCCATTTTAGGTTAGGATTTTTCTTTTTTCTTCAACGTTTATAATAAATTTGTTTTTATTTCTCTGTGTCGATTTTTAAAGTTAAAGGGAATTTGTAACGTTTTTTTTTTTTTTTTTTATTAATGTATTTTATTTGTTTTAACTTTCTCTTTTCTTTTTCGAATATTTCTATATGTCCATTTTAGGTTAGGAATTTTTTTTTTTCTCTGTGTTGATTTAAAGTTAAAGGAATCTGTAACGTTTAAATAGTATTATCTTTTTCTCTATTAAAATGTATTTGTTTTAATTTCTTTTTTTTCTGGTTCTTTTTAAGGGAGTTTTTTTCCCCCATATAAGAATGTCCTTGACATTTGAGATCCTTGCGATAATATCGCATTGACGATCACACACCGGTAGACACACACTATTTGATATTCTAGGTCAACGATCGTATGAAACTGATCAATCGATCCGATCCGATATGATATTTTTTCTATACCTGTTATATACAAGTTAAGATATACAAGTTAAGTTATATACATGTAATTATTTTATCCTAGTATTTTATTTTTTTTTTCACCTAGGTTATAAATTTCCATTAAAATCATCCTTTTTAATGTTGTTACAAATATCAGAATTTATCGATCTTTCCTTTACTATTTTGATATCCAATTTTTTTCGATTAAAAATTTAATATTTCATATACAAATGTTTAGATTTTCAGTTGTAAAAAAAGAAAAAAGAAAAGAAATGGAAAATTCTTCAATATTACGCAACGCAAATAATTTGCGAGCAGATAAAATGGAAAAAAATGAGAACTTTTTTCATTTTTTTTTTTTTTTTAAATATTCTCTTTATTATATTCGATTTTTCATTTATGATTATCCCATTTCTGTCATTTCAATACTTTACATAATTCAAAGCTTTACTTTGTTATATATAATACTTTGTAACTACGCCGGCCTTACACGTTTATCGATTGGCTAGCTCTCTACGAAGAACACGTTCTTTCCAAGTTTTTTTTTTTTTTTTCTTTTATTATAACCTCGAAATACGAGTACTTTCATCTTAATTTATTTTTTCGAAAAAGATATATCGTAATAATAATAATTTATAGAACAATTATATATATCAACAGAGCAGGACAATTAAAAAAGATTATTTTTTAATGTCCAACGAACGGTAAAAACTAATCGACTGAGTTACATTAGAAATGCATCGTGGTGCACCCAAGCGGTACCAAATCGAAATTTTCAATTACTCGTTTCTGTCGGTAATTACGACAATTGTCCTTAATAAATGAAAAAAAAAAAAAATTAATTAATTATTCACATAATACAAATAATTGTACAATATTTGATCAATATATATATATATCAATAATTTAAGAAAGTTTAATATATTTCAATAATCATATTTTCATCCCTATATAATAATTACCGACAAACAAATAACACACTATATATGATCTAATAAAAGTAACTATATATTGAACAAAAATCACCATTTCTTTTGTACATTAGCCAATTGGTTATTATCGACCAATCACGGACTGCGGTAGGATTCCTTTTATCGTCAAGGCCGCGGCAATACACCCAACCCTTTTTTTTTTTTTTTTACCGATCTACTCGTTCTCCTGTTAGATTTATAATGCACCCGTTTCTTCATTTTACGTGAGAAAAAAAACCATAATTCCCTCCCCCTCCCCCTTCTTCCACTTCCTTCCCCTAATATTCGTCTCACTTAGAGTTAGATCACATTCTTTCGTTAGAACAAAGTTATTAACTAACAGTTCTCTCTCGGTGACCTCGATGTCATCATCATTATCATTATCATCATCGTTAGTTTCCCCCCCCCCCCTCTCTTCCTCTTACCCCTTTTCCATCACCCTAATTCATATCCCGGCCGATGGTTTCTCTTCTTCCTGATCGTTCGTAACCCTAACATCGGTAAAAAAGCTTATGCGTTTTTCTTTTTTATTTTTTTTTTTAACACCGTTGACTGCAGCCGTGCATTTCACGTGATTATTTTTTTTCATTATGGGATACATATTTTATTGAAATTTTTGTTTACACCATATTGATAAATGGTTTCGTACAAATTTTGTTTTAATAATGCATTATTTGCGGTGAGGTCACCGGTGACCCCCGGGGCGCTGTAGTAACCATTTTTTGTGATTATCAATTGTTTCGAATTATTCAGAAATGATAGTAGATTAGAATTTATACAAATCTATAGTTGATTTGTCCGATCAAATGATATTCCTTATAATTCATCACTGCGATTAAAACTTTAAAAAATAGAGAACTTTTTATTGATCACTTGTGTTATCAATTAAATGGTGTTACATGAACAAGAAGTAACTCTACAAATATTTTAATTTCTTAATTTTTAAAATGAAATTAACGATTTGAATTTAATTTAATGTTCTGATTAAATGAAGATTCTATTTTTATCAAACAATTACGTACGGAAAAATAAACTGTGCATAGTGTTTTCTTTTAATCGTAAAATTAATTTTACATGTTCTGCGTGTACGTCATTATTTTATTCAAACCCTTATACAAAAAAAAAAAAAAACAATAGTATTATTTAAAAATTTATGATCAATATTCGATATATATTTATTCTAATTATAAATTATTATAATTGGTCGTGTTGAGGTCACCGGTGACCCACACGGCAGTCAACCTGTTAAACCAAACATTTATTTACTTTTTCGTTTACTGTTCTTCTATTAAAAAAAATTAAATTAGAAACATGAACAAAAAGAAATGGAAAATAAGTATGAAAAAATTCAAGATATAATTTATCAGATCATTTTAACCCTTTTCTAAGTTAAATGAAAAAGGGGTAGAAAAATTTTTCGGGTGGTCTGATTAAATTTCTCATTTGTATTTGTATTTGTAACACGCGTTTTTTATATGTATTATTTGTATACGATGTATACTTATGCGTGTTTATTTATGTTGTACATATTTGTTTTACAAGTAGTGGTACAATTGGATATAATGGTGGTGGTAGTGGGGTGTGTGTGATACAATATGGCGTTCAAAGGAATGCAAAGTATAATGAAAAGCTTTGATTAT